TAGTCTAATGGTTCTTAAATTACCTCTCCTTGATCTGGTTTTCCAGGGCAGTTGTTTTTGCAGATATACCTTACATTTCTTCTACTTTTTTTCAGGCTTTTGACTTTGTTATAATATTTCAGTTTTCTTCCAATCTGACCACTCCTCATTATCCTTTGATGGTCACACCTGCCAACCATGGGTATCCTACAAGGCTCTGTCCTAGGCCCTCTTCTCTTCTCTCTCTATACTACTTCATTTGGTGATCTTGTCACCTCCCACAGATTTAACTGTCATCTATGTTAATGATTCTTAAATCTTCTTCTCCAATACTAACCTCTCTCCTCACTTTCAGATTTGCATCTCCAACTGTCTACTAGACATCTCAAACTGGATCTTGCTTAAACTCAACATGTCCAAAACTGAACTCATTAGTATCCCTCAAAACTCTTCCCTCTTCCTAACTTCCCTATTACTGTGAAGGGCACTACCACCCTCTCAATCACCCAGGCTCACAACTTAGATGTTATTGTCATTTCCTTCCTCAAAACATTCAACCACTCCCTATTGCCTCTCAAATAAAACAGAAATCCCTGAGCACTTAAGAGCCACACCTATAGAGTAATCAAGAGAGGCTGGGGGGTGAGGGGCGTGGCGAGGGGGGGGGAGCGGGCCCGGGCAGCAGCAACTGCTAGGATAATGCTGGCCCTTAGGTTGTTTTCTGATCTGTAGCCAAATATTTGTACTTCTGGCTCTGATCCACCCTCCCTAAGTGTGAACTATCCAAAGATCAGTAGGTGTTGGAAAGAAGAAGAGTGAAGAAAAGCAGAGACTTGGTCATCAACCAAAAAAGGCAAACACAAAGTGGGAAAGGAAGAGGGGTGGACAGCAATCCCAGGCACCAAGTAAGGGACAAGGGATATTGGGAATAGGCAGCGACTGCCAAGACTCTTACCTTGTTCAGACGCTGGATCTCCTTCTCCTGGTATTCCCGCTGTCGAGTAAGGGGAGCCAGCTGATCCTGGAGGTACTTAGCCCTCTGTCTCAGGTCCTTGCCTTCTGCTGTTAATCTCTCTTTATCAGCCTGGGGTGGAAAAGAGGTAGAAGCTAAGCAGACCATCTCTTGCCTTCCACCTCATCCCCACACCATAAGCAGGGGTTCTTCACCTTTTCTGGTGTCAAAGACCCCTTTATCAATCTGCTGAAATCTATGGACTCCATCTTAGAATAATGTTTTTAAATACATAAAACAAAATATATAGGATTACAAAGGAAATCAACTGTATTGTAATAGTTAGAATTTTTTTTTTTAAAGTTCACAGACCACCTCCCCCACAGGTTCAGAACTCAGCTTTATAAAAGGAACACATAGATTGTCTTCCTTCCATTGTAGGATCTTGGAATGCTAAAATCTGAAGGACCTCAAAACACATAGCATACAATTTTGAAACCAGAAGGGACCTTAGAACATATACTGAGTTGGCCTTATTGACATAAGGGCCTTATGTCATAGGAAATAAAATGTCACAGCTGGAAGAATCCTAAAGAGCACCTATCAGGGGTGGGGAACCTGCGGCCTCGAGGCCACATGGGGCCTTCTAGGTCCTTGGGTGCAGCCTTCTGACTGAGTCCAAGTTTTACAGAACAAATCCTTCTATTAAGGGGATCTCAAGACCACAGGTTCCCCACCCCTGAATCCTAGTTCAACTCCTCCATTTTTATCAAGGAAAATGGGCTCAGAACGAGGAAGAAATTTACTCCATGTCTCATGGCACTTCCATTTAACTCTCAAGTCTTATTTTTTCCCTATATGAAGCCCTGTGGGAAAGGGTAAAATCTTCCTGATAGTGAGGAGAAAAATTCATATTAGTATAGGATTGGGTTACTCATACACTCCCTCGTAGAGGCTATTGACCTCAAAAGAACAATCCCCTTACACACGAAAATGCCTTATTCCACTGATTAGGCAGATCATCCATCTATCTGGAGAGAGAAGAGTGAGGAGGTGAGGCAATTATCATGTTCACGACCATCTCCCATACAGGTATCTAATGAAATCCAGGGTCCTACATAATAATGATGCTAATTTATACACTTCAGAGAATTTCCTCATCCATAATCTCATCTCATCCTCACAAAGTATACAGCACAAGTGGTATTGTATTATCCCTAGTAGACAGACAGGGAGACAGACTCAGATATGAGAAGATATGAGGATATGAGCTGCCCAAGTCAGAGAGTGACACAGTCATGACTATAATTCAAGTACAATGCTAAGGTCCCTTTCCTCTAGAATTTGGGTCCACTTGTTAAAGGTAGATTTGTGGCCCTTTCCACCAGCCCCATAAAAGTTTGGCCTCAGCTCCACAGGGCTCATGTTTGAAGAGGTCAGAGAACAGTATCAAAGCCAGAACCCTAAAAGAAGGGAAGGAGAAGTGCCAAGTTTTTTTAATCCATTCCCCTGATTGTCAATGTGGACAGTGTAGAGAAAGAGCCTCCTAGTCAGAATGCTGGGGTAAACTCACACAAGAAACTAGGCAGAGAAGAGCAAGAACAGTGGGGCAAAAAGCTCACAATCAGAGAGCCTTCTGACTGGGGGGGTAGGGGTGGGAGAGAGAACCAACATGAAATTTGTTCTTAACGGTAAAGGTCGAATAGGTTAAAAATATCAAAGGAAGCTGGCAGACAATCTTTCCAGGAACAGCCATCCAAACAAAATGTGTGAAAATTGGGAAAGGAGGAAAAAGGTCTATCTGCATACAACATGTTAGGAAACTAACCACCTGGCTCTTCCTCCTCCCTTAAGACACAAAAATGTGTCACATATACCTCTCCCTCATGAACTCTCCATCTCAGATAAACAGAACTATTATTACTTCCTCCTAAATACTTTTCATGCTTCTCACCTCCGTATCTTTGCTCAAGTCTCCCTCTATGCCTAGAAGGTCCTTGCCCCACCATTTCCTCTTGTTCTTCCAGGTCTAGCTCTAAGGATGCCTCGTCCATGAAGCTTTCTCTGATTTCTTCAGTGAGGCCGGTGACTTTGCACACCCTCCCTCACTTAAATCCCATTACTTGCACCTCACAGTCCTCTTTGAGAATGAAGGCCAAACAACAACAATTCCCATGATATTTGTCTTATCCCTCTACTAAATTTTGAGCTCCCTGAGGGTAGAGACCATGTCTCAGTCATCTTTTTATCTTCCGCACTCTATAGCACAAGGCCCTAATGCACACAGGCACTTAGTAAATGTTTGCTGAAAGAAGGAAGAAATGCATTCAAGGTCTGAAAATGAAAAAGCTGGAATAGAAGGAAGAGAGTGCATTTCCTCTGATCTCAGAAATCCTAGAACCCTATAATTAGAAAGTAGGTTCAACTGGGTTATTTTACCTGTGTGGCTTTTAAGTTTAACCATACTGAACTGGCACCTTCAACTCCTTATTATCCACTTTGTGGATTATTTATGATAAATGCTTAACCATGAGGCAAGTTTGCCATAGCCTCCAGCATAATTCAGAATCACTTTGCTCGGCCCTCAATGCAGCTGAGGAACTGGAGATATATTACCATTACCTTGAGCTGAACAGGATTAAGAAGGTAAATCAGCTATAAAAAATAATAATCATCATATAAATTGTTCCAAAGCCACAAAGAAACAATGTTTACATTATTCCTACTGTTGTACCTCCACATTTCCTAGTACAAAGATTCAGGAGTAGACTATATCCTTAAGTTTAATAAAACAGATGATCAGAAATTTCTGACTATTAAATCTTGGCATAAGTGCATTTGTCATTAAGATATCAATCATTTGTCAACAAAATGGTTCCACAACTGTTGAAATTCAAGAGTAGCTCAAGAATCACAGTATGGCTTAGTTCAAGTTTCAAGGTATTACTCCCACCTCACCTCCTGAATTTGTGACAAAATGGAAATAGCTCAGAATCTCATTCCTCTGGAAGAAAAATGAGCTATCTACTAGAAAAGAGCTAAGGCTAGAATCCGAGGCATAGAAAAGAACCAGGAAACAAGTTTGGATAAAAACAACAAAGTATATGACTCAGAGGAAGAATTTCTTGATTCAAATTCTATGTCTTTATGACAGAAGAGAGCATAGAATCAATTACTATTTGCCTTGGATGACAAGGGGCTGAACCAGCAGATCCCTTAATGTCCCATCTACCTTTCTACGTCATGGAAGTCCAATTCAAGGGGAAGATTGGGTACTGAGGTTTCCTACGCTCTCCTTACTCCTACTCTGGGATGTTCTCCAACTGCACCATGATAAGATTCTACCAGTCTGCAAGAGGGGAAGTGCCAAGACTGAGGGGACCAGGCTTACCTCCTCCATTTCAATCTTGGACTTGGCCAGGAGAAGCTTTCTGTCAAAATCTCGCTGCTTCTGCTCTCGGTCAGCCTCCAGTTCGCTCACCAGCTTCTGAGAATCGGCCAGCTTCTGTCGCAGCTCTGTGATCTGTGTAAAGGAAGGATAACCAATAATGAGCAAAGGATCTCAGGCTTAGGTCAGGGTCTATCCCACCCCTACCCAACCATCCTTGCCCCAACAAACCTAACGTCTCAAGCTCAGATGCAGGAATTCCTGAGCCTTTGAGAAGAAGATGGACACCAAAACTGCCAGGCAACTAAGATTTTTCCCTCTTCTCAAATCAATTAACTAAATCACATGGTTACAGTCTTATAAGTTTTATATAAAGCTTTCCAAATAAAATTTTATGAAGGAAGTAATGCAAGGATTATTATCCTTATTTTATAAATGTGGAAACTGACACTTAGGAAGCTGAAGAGAGTGACCACAGTCATATAACTAAGAGGTATGGGTCAAGATTTGAATACAGGTCTTCTGAATTCGAGTCCAGCAGTATTTCCACTATAACGTATCACACTGATCCAAACAAAGTCCATAATGGCTGGAAAAAGCCTACATTACCTTCTGTTCATACTGCTGCTTCATAGAACGAAAATGCTGGTCCCACTGCTTGTTCACTTCCAGAAGCTACGGGAAGAAGCCAGAGTTAACAAGGACCTGGAGGCCAGCTCTGCAAATCCTGAAACAAACAACCTTCACATAATCTTGGCAGTGGGGGAAGATGTAGGTCATGGTTCAATAGAGTGTAACTCAACCCATGTGTATCCATCATCTAATCTATATAGCTAGTCTTGTGTTAGGCACAAAGGGCTACAAGAGAAGGAGAAAACAAAGTCCTTACTCTTCAGGTGGTTATAGTATTGTTGGGAAGACAAGGCTAGTAAAACATGAAATAGTGGTCATTAAAGGCAGTGATCAGTGTAGCCTGCAGCAGTCAGGGAAGAGCAGGTAGGGCTTCAACTGGGTCTTAAGGATGGACAGACTTTGGATAAGTGGAAAGAAGGGGAAAGCATTCCAGGAAAGACACAGGGTCGGCCAAAGCCTGGAGGAAGGAACGAACCTGGGCTATCCAGGGAAGAGGCAAACCAGCCTGCAGGAACAGAGAGGTCCCTTGCCCAGTGTTTAGTAGACTACTGCACATCACAGTCAGCAGGTTAATAAATGGATGGTGAATAAGGGAACTAGTGTTGCTTTCAGGGCTGAGCAGGATTGATCCGCATAAAAACGAAAACTATAATTTAAGCACTATGAGTTTCATACTGAAAAACTAAGTGGTCTGTAATCCTTCTCTATGAGTACTCTTTGCTTGACTTATCATCTGTACCAAGTTATCATCATGCGGCAATACCTTAGTCTTTGGTCGCCCATAATAAATGCTGAAATATGCCTTAAGATATGATGACATAGCTTCAGGTATCCACAAGTTTGATATAAGAAGTCTTTCCAGGATATCCCTACCTGGAATCTCCCTTAAAAAGCAGTTTCTTCTGGTTCAGAGAACTGGACACGAAGAAGAATGGGTAAAAACCTATCCATTCCAAAGACAAAGGCCTGATAGAATTCCAGGACTGGAGACATCAAAAGAGAATGTGATAGGCAATCTTCACAGTATCCCTCCCAGGTACTTTCTTTACCAAATAGAGCCAAGATTCTAGTGGAGAGTTTTTGGGGAAAATGAAGTTTCTCCTTCTGCCCCTACCCTGGGCTTGTTACCTCACTCCGCTGCTGCTCAAGGATCTTCACTTTCTTCTCAATAGCTCCCACAGTCCCTGCTTCAGGAATATTACCTGGGCTCATACCAGCCTGAAGGAGAATAGAAAACAGTGCTTTATTACGGTTGAAAGAATATTCTTTAATCTCCTCATTCTCTCAGCTAGGATGCTTCCATCCTTGCTATCCCTCTTCTAGACATCCCCATGCCACCATTTCCTCTCCTTGCATCCACCAGTCCCCAATATCTGCTTCTCCACCTCTCGAATGCATACAGCAATTTTCTTACAGAAAACAAAAGGCTCATGGAAATGAAAACAAACTGTATAAAGCAGAAGAACACCATAGGAGGAGTTAAAGGAGTCCTGGATCTGCCATAAATGTGCTATATGCCCTCAGACAAGTCAGTTTCCCTCTCTGTGCCTCAATTTCCTCTTCTGTCAAATAAGAAGTTTGGATCAGATGGTTTGGCTTGCAGGTCCCTTGTAGTCATGGAGCTCTAAGACTTTCACACTTGATTGGCAGTCACTGTTAGACTTCACTTCTGTCACAGGCCTGCAGCCTAAGATCATTCATCTCCTTCCTAGCAAGTGTTTCTGGGGAGTTCGTGAGGCTCTGGTCTTCCCTTCCTGGCTGAGAACTGGGTCCTGTTGCACTGAGGCAGGAGTGGAGTGGTACTGGAGCCATATTAGAAACTCCCCTTCCTTCAAGAAAGGCTAAGAACAGTGCATTCCTTTCACATTCTTTCCTTCTTAAACATACAGTCCACCTGAAGGGACAGGAATAGGATGGGGAGAGAACCTAGGTTCACTGATGAAAACTGGGCTAGTAACCAGATATTAACTGAACTCAACTACCATTTATTTATTTATTTTTTTGGCTAGGCAATGGGGTTAAGTGACTTGCCCAGGGCCACACAGCTAGGAAGTGTTACGTGTCTGAGGCTGGATTTGAATTCAGGTCCTCCTGACTTCAGGGCCAGTGCTCTACCCACTGCGCCACCTAGCTGCTCCTCAACTACCATTTATTAGGTATCTCCGGGCAAGGCACCAGACTAGAAACTGTGGCCACGAAGACAAAAGGGATCATCATCCCTGTGCTCAGGGTCTAGAGCTCTACATCTTCTGGCTCTAAGCCCAGTGCTCTTCTTATTGGGTCACTCTGCCTTGTCAGTTAATGACAAATGAAAGGGCAGGGGAGGTAGGTGAGGTCACAAAAGGGACAAAAGTGAGGCTATGCAAGGGAAAGAGAGGGTTTTGAAAAATGTACCCTTGGGTGTGGAATGTTACATATGCCTACTGAAACAATTAATGCATCCTCTGGTTTTACTGAACTTAAAAAAGTTGCTCTAAGGGAGACCTTGATAGAAGTAGGTTGGGGGTGGGGTAGGGTGGGGTGGGGTATATATTCTGAAATGAAAGTGATGTTAGAAAAGGCACCCAAAAAAAAATTCTTTAAATGAGGGCTTGAAAGGGCAAGTTCCTAGGTCACAAAGCAAATTTGTAGCAAACAAGACTGAGAATGAAACAGAAGAATACAAAATGGTGGCAGGAATAAGAATCAGAAAACTCAGGTTCAAATTCAAGCTCCACTACAAATTTGCTTTATGACCTAGAATCTTGCCCTCTCAAAACCCTCAGTTTTCTCATCTGAACAAGGAGGGACTGAATCCCCACATCCTAGACTGTAAATTCCTACCCTTAGCACCTACGACAAGCAGTGCCTGGATAAAGCTGATGAGGACAGAACCAGAGTACTCAAAAGAGAACCAAGTTAATCAATGTAATCACATGAACTAGGAATGCAAAAACAATGTGACTTGGCTGCTAAGAGGGCTGAGTGCAGTGATAAAGGCCTAGCATCAGGAATGAGGGAGGTGCTGGTCCCACTGCATCTGCCCTGGTCAGTTTCCATCTGGAGTAATAATGTTTCTAGTTCTACACAACATAATAGGAATGGGTCCAGAATAGACCGACAGGATGGTATGGGGACTCAAAACCACGTCATTTAAGGATCTACCAAAGGAACTGGATATATTTTGCCTAAAGAAGGAAGGTCATTGGGAATATGATTGCTATCTTTCAATGTTTTTAGAAGAAAGATGACTTACGCTATGTGGCTCTAGAAGACAGACCTTGGACAAATGGGGGAAGTTATAAGGAGATTTCAGCTCAACAAAGAAGGAAGGACTTTGTATCCAATAAGGAATATATTGCCCAGGAAGAGAGTGAGCTCCTCATCACTGGGATTGTTAAGTGGAGGAAGACACAGATACTGTAGAGGGGACTTCTGAATCAAGGGGGTGTATTAAATAATCTCTGAGATCCTCTCAACCTGGAGATCCCATTCTACACATCTTAACTATGCTGGGTAACTACAAACTACATGATTTCTTAAATTCTTGAAGTGCTGATAACCTTCCCCTTTCAGCTCTAAAGACATAACAATAATAACTCAATACAGTGCTTTGCATTTTACATAGCACTTTTCTCAAACTTCTGTGAGGTCAGTAGTGTAAGTATTAACCTCATTGTTAAGATAAAGAGACTGAAGCGCAGAGAAGATAAGGAAACTTTCCCTAGATCACAGTTCACAAGTGGCAGAGAAAAGATTCAAACCCATGACTTCATGGGTTTGACTTCTTGACTTCATGACTCCAGAGCCACTGTTCTTTCCACTTTACCACAAAGCCTCTCCATAGAGAAGCAAATGTTTCTGTAAGTCAGATACCAAGTCCCCTTAAAGTTAGTATTCACCCAAACTACCTGTGTATTTTGAACTAAACAGGACATAAGAGCAAAGAGCTGTCCTGAAGCCACCATTCCAGGGAGAAACCACACTCCTTGCCACCTCCTCACCCCCTACCCAAGCCTTCAATTGATGGCTACATATAAGGGTACCCAAGAGATTAAGGGGATAAATGAGAAATATGGCAGAATACCATTTATCTGGCCAGATTCCTCTGACCTTCCATACCTGCTGCTGCCTAGCCAACGATTTCCGGCCTGAGACTTCCGTTCTTAGTCCACTGGCGGGCTCAGTGGCTCCCTCTTTGCCACTACTGCTCATAACCAACTTCTTTAGCTCCAGGTTCTCTTCCCTGGACCACAGGCAAATAGAGAAATAAATTTTGTGAGGTAACCTTGCCATGACTCATTATGGAAGGCTGTATGTAGTATTAATAATCTCTGCATTGAAAATCTGTAAGCTATATGGGAAACTTAACCCAGAACTTCTGCTGCTCCTGCTTGCCAAGTCAAGCAAAGTGTACACTTCTCCATGAATCTTTTGTCCCCAGAAAAGGCAGTACACTTACTACCTAAGTGACTCTGCAAAGTCTCCTCTTCTTCCTCCTCTTCATCATGATAATAGCTGATTTTTACATAATGTCATGCATAGTTTAATTTGATCCTCACAACATCCCCATGAGGTAGTTGCTTCCATTTTATAGAAGAAAAAGGAAAAAGAAGGTTTAAAGAGGCTTGCCCAAAATCAAACAGCTAGTGAGTGGCAGATTGAATCCAAGGACTGAATTTCAGGTCTACTTCCTCTAAAACTAACGTTGCTATTACCTAACATCTCTCTATAAAGAAATATACAGTATCCCAGACTTCAAATTCCCACAAGTTAGAATACAATCACAGGTAGAAATAGTGTTCATGTCTGACAGACTAGATGAGTAATAAGGGGAAAGGGCTGTGTTCTAAAACCTCAGGTGATAATAGCACATAAGAATAATAACAATAATAACCAGGATTTATAGAGAGCTTTTGCAAAGCATTTATACACACACACACACACACACACACACACACACACACACACACAATCTCTTTAGTTTGCTTATCTGTAAAGTATGTGGAATTTGGACTAAATGGTCTTTAAGGTTCCTTCCAATTCTAAATTCTATGATGCTAAATCATTTTCTAAGATTACAGAGCCCAAATTCAAGCCAATATCTCACAATCCCTATATCATTCCATAAGACCTATAAATTTCAAACTTTTCCAATACACAGTCCATTTCACTATATATTGCAAAAAGCTCTAGTCACACCCTTCCTTCTGCAAAAAACAGCATGTTGGTCACCCTAACAAAGCCATATTGTATCTAACTCCCTATTCCTGCTTATTAACAAAGATTCTAATTGAAGCAGAAAATGTGAGAGTAGATGGATTAACTGGGCATGGCAGCGTATGCCTGTAATCCCTGACACTGGGAAGGCTGCAGTTGATGGACTGCTTGAGCTCAGAAGATCTGAACTACTCTAGGGCTAAAGTCTATCAGGTGTCCACACTAAATCCAGGACTAATATGGGAGCCCCTGGGAACAGAGGGCCACAAGGCTGCCTGAAGAGGAGCAAATTGACCCAAGTTAGAAATGGAGTTGATCAAAACTTCTATTATCAATCAGCAATGGAATCATAGGTCAAGATAGGGAGATGTAGTCTAGGAAGGAAAAAAAGAAGGAAGGAAGGAAAGGAGGGAGGGAGGAAAGGAAAGAGAGAGGGAAAGAGGGAGAAAAAGAGAGAGAAAAGGGAGGAAGGGAAAGAGAATGAGAGCAAATAGATTACTGTTATAATAAGCCTTTGCATTACATGGTTTTGGAGACTCAGTTGGTACTCAATAAAATATTCCTTGGTTCAATGATTTGGGATTTTTTGGGTCTATTCATTTCCCAAGTACGGAACCTGCCACATCCTATACAACAGTGCCTGGACATAATAATGTTGGCTCTTCCTGCCAGTATCATAAGGCAGGATCACTGTATTTTAAAATGTTACTTGCATTGTGGGCCCATTTCTCAATTCACCAGAGGTCCTTGGCATCACAATAGTACACTTGGGGAAATATTGCTCTTAGCCCTATTTCCTACTTCTGCAATACTATGAACTCTTGTTCTTTCCACTAAAATCCTCTGATGGTAGATGAAAGTGTCTCTAAGTTCCTGAAGCTTATTCCAGGAAAATATGATTTGTGGCAGGTCCTCCCAAGCTGGAAGACTCAAATATGGATTCAATGAGAAACTCTGTGTCTGGCAAAAAAGACCAGCTCATTCACTAGAAGAATGGCCATCAAGGAAGGATGCTTTTGGCCACAGCAACACATAAAATCATCTAATGAGTGCAAAGACTACGTGATGATTCAGCAGCAAGAGTATTTCTATTGATGAAATGATAAGTCTTCTGAAATACTGAAATAAAGAAGTAATCTTATTGTTAATGACATTCAAATTATCATAAAAATATAGAAAAATCAAGATCCTTCCATGGCAAAAAGTTTAAAATTACTTAGTCTCTTTTTTTAATTTCATGCTTAATGGGTCCCACTGTGGTCTCTAGCTCCTTGTGGCTTCTCTACATCAAGTAACAAATCCACTAACAAGCATTGTCCTAGGATTCCACTAGGGAAGAAAGCCTTCCGTAGAAGAATAAAGGGAAAAAGAAAAGGAAAAATTCAGTAGCTGCACAAAGGTCAGGAGCAGGAAACGTGGTCTCGTAAACCTGTGATGTCAAACTCAAACAGAAAGGGATCCCTATGGCCAAATACTGACATTTTCCATGTGACATTATATTTTTATTTATTTTCATAAACATTTGCCAATTACATTTTAATCTGGTTCTGGCCAGCACTCCAGTGTTCTGATGGCCACTTGTAGCCCAGGCTGTGAGTCTCACACCTCTAGACTAGGTAACCTCTAAAGGCACTTCCAACTTGAACAGCCCAGGGTTGTACCCCTTTTGCATGGAAGCTGCCCAAGGACAGCTCGGAAGGGAAGGCCACCTAGGGAACAGCAGGGGGCAGCAAAGCTCTGAGAATACAGCGTCCCTGTGGCTACTATGTGCGCTGCCAGGGGAGTCAGCTCTAGGCAGAACTGATCTAGGACTAGCAAAATACTCAGTTTTCTCACCTCCAAAAGTCACCACAGGATTGGATTACCAAGAAGCTTCACATGTATTTTTCTGTTTTTCAGAATGTTCCAGATCAAACCTTAATCTCAGGAGGATTATTTTAATACACATACACACACACAAAATCTCTTTAGTTTGCTTATCTGTAAAGTATGTGGGATTTGGACTAAATGATCTTTAAGGTTCCTTCCAATTCTAAATTCTAGATATTTTAATGCTCTGCCAGGGTTTAAAAGGTAATATCAGAACACATTTTGCACAACCGGCAGAAAGGGAAACTGAAGGCCCCAATGTGTGAGAGCCAGAAAGGAGAGCCAGAAGGGTTCAGACACCAAAAGCCTCTAATACCTGCTGTGAATATGAAGCCTGTCATAATTGAAATCTGAGTACCTCTGTCCTGAATCGAACCCCTTGCCCATTCCCCCAACACCTGGATTCTTACCGAAGCTTCTCTGTGGCCTGGTCCCTCTGCTCTAGGTCCTTTTCCAATTTGGATTTTAGGGCCTCATTCTCATTCCGGAGCTGCTCACACAGTGTCTATGAGGTAGAGACAGGCAACAACACTGTTAGGAGATGAGTAGAGAAGTGAGAGAAGGAAGCCAGACAGGTAAAGGAGGTTGCAGCTCCATTTGCCCCCGACTCACTCTTAAATAGTCCTGCCCCAACCATACCCCATGCCTAAGAACCTTCTAGTCCTCAAAAACATCAAAGAATCTCAAAAATGCAAGTTATCTCTATGGACTATAAATTCCCTGAGGGCAGGGACTGCTTCATTTTGTCTATGCATCCTCAGTACCTCTCCACTTAATGAATGCTGGTCCAATTGAATGGATGATTCAACACTGGTCATCTAGTCCAACTCCTATCTTCCTCACTAAAATGTGCTCAAAAAGTAGAAGACAAAAATAAGGTTCTTCAGAAGAACTCATTATTTCCCAAAGCAGCCCATTCAATTTTTTTTAAATAGCTCTAAGTATTTCCTTCTAATTAAGTGAAATCTACCCGGAAAGCCAAGCAGAACAAAGGTAATCCCTCTTCTACAGGACGGTCCCTCAAATCTTGCAGCCAGATGCCATTTCCCTGCCCCTACCCAAGTCTTTTTTCCTCCAGGCAGACCCTTTAAAACCTTGAACCCTCTCCAAGAAGTAATAAATGATTAATGGAAGGGAGCAGAGGTTCAAGAGCGCTCCTTCACTTCATGAAATCATGCAGTCATGAAGTCTTCAGATCATGAGGATTTCCATCTATTCCAAAGAGACCAGGAGGAGGTTAGTGCCAGCATGTTGGGGCTCCCCAACCTCTCCAGTATAGTATTGAGATCTGAGAGGCACATGTGTGGTATGCTGAGTACTTCTACCTGGAATGAGATCTGGATCCCTATCTTGCCTCTGACACTTGTCAGGGGCAAGTCCCTTTGTCCCTTGGAGTTTCAGTGGTCTTAAACATGTAAAATGCACATAGCGAGCTCTACCTTTGTAGTAACAATGAGAAGCAATGTGGGGCCAGGGGTCAAGTGCCACCTCTAACACCAATGAAATCACAGGTCCAAACAGAAAAGAGTAATAAGTATTATTTGGTCATAATTCAATATTTAAATATTATCAAATTACTAAATAACTTAAATATTACTGAAAATTACTGAAAATTTTAAGTATTATCAAAAAATTTTAAATTACTTCAAATTCTAGAGTCTAGGGCAGGGGTGGGGAACCTGCAGCCACATGTGGCCCTCTAGGTCCTCGAGTGTGGCCTTACTAAGTCCAAGTTTTACAGAACAAATTCTTTTATTAAGGGGATTTGTTCTATGAAGTCTGGATTCAGTCAAAGGGCCGCACTTGAGGACCTAGAGGGCCACATGTAGCCTCAAGACCGCAGGTTCCCTACCCCTGGTTTAGGGATTTACGAGTAGAGCTTTTCTCTTCAGCTGAGTGGTGGCCGTTTCCTTTATCAAACTGAGAACATCACAGGCATGAGATGCTGCTAGGGAGTGATAAGTGAAGTAAGTCAGTGCCAAGAAATCATTAAGCCATTAAGTAAACTTCAACCACTAAATTTGCGTGGATCTCACATTTCCCAATTTCCTTCCTTCTTCCCCTTCCCCTACTTCCCCTGTTAATGTTTGGGAAGAACTCAAATTTCTATCTGAAAGCATACATTCAGATTCCTAGCAAAAACAAACAGAAAAGTTAAGAATGAACTACATCTGATGCAATTCTTTTTCACATAAGTTCACAATCCATCTTCTTTTAGACTTCCCACTACCCAATTTCACTAGATATAAACAGGATTTTTAAAGTTTGAAGAGACCTCCGAGATCATCTCGTCTAAGTCTCTCATTTCAAAGATGAGGAAACTAAGGTCCAGAAAGGTTAAACTATTTGGTCGAGGTAACACAGCAGTAGCAAATAATGGAGTTGGGATTTTTTTTCTGAGCTCACATTTGAACTCAGGTTCTCAGACTAATCCTCCCAAAGGAAAATAAACCCTTTCAAACTAGGTCAATAACATGCAACAAAAACAAGGGTTATTCTCTTGTATGAATGAAAAGAGTGTGTGTGAAATATATTGGTACTATATTGGTCTGAACACAGACAATATCCGTAACATAATATCACTTTGAAAAAGGGGAGAAAATCTCCATACATTCCAAAGTGATATTGACTAAAGGCTCTTTGTTTAACTCCTTTTAGACCCACTGCCAAATTCCCTGTGTGCCTACACTTAACCATACCAGCAGACAAGCTGCTCCTCACCTGAAGGATGGAGGTTCTCTGCTCATTCTTGTGCACCTTAGAGGCTAGCCGGTTGAATTCCAGGGCCATGCGGCCCAGGTGGGTGAAGACCTGGGTATGATCAGGCTCCTCGGCACAGACACTTAGGGTGCTCTCCAGCCGCTGCAAATGTAGCATCAGGTTGCTGTCCTCTTTGGGCAAGGGTGCCAGGTCCTAGGAAAAGGAGAAAAGCAGTTAGTTATTTTGATGGGAGGGAGGATAGGAAATGGACACATAAGGAACAAAATGAGATCTCAAACCATAGGTATTATGGTAAGTCCAGTCTCTTACCTCTAGCCAGACTATGCTATATTGCATCCTCACCTTCCCTATAGTCACAATGGGGCAGCCTTCCTGGAACTGACACATCAATCCAGGAAGCCAGCTTTTCCTTTCTCCCCTGACTCAGTTTCCCACTTTGGCTCCAGTCCAAATTTGGGGAAATTCCATGGTTGCATTAACTTCCTATGTGCCACTGACTCATGGAGCAGGAGGTTATAAGGAAGATATCTGTCTTAGCAGAAAGCAAAGTAGCTACCTTTGTTCTTTCCCTTCCTGAACTATAGAATCAGAAATGTAGAGCTGGAAGAGACCTCTGAAGCCATCTAATCCAGCCTACTCATACTTCAGACAAGAAAACTGAAACACAAGGAGTTTAAATGACTCGCCCAAGGTCACACAACTAGTAAGCACCAGAGGACACATATTCAGTGTTCCCACTCTCCTCCACTGCTCCCAGTTGCTGTTTCTCTTCTGCCTGGGCTACCAGGAAGAATAGTGAAGGTCCAAGAAGATAAGGATACAAATACCTACAAAGATCCTAATGAACAGAGTATATATTAAAATAACTATTTCTTAGATTTATATGTCACTTTTACTCCTGAGTTTAAAGCACTTTCCAATCTCCTTTTGCCAAAAGATAACTAAAGATAAGTATTATTTAAAGTGGAGAAAATTATTTTGTCTTCTTCCATCCTCTAGTCCAGGAGTAATCTCTCCCTTTTCTAAACTCCAACATGACTTTCTTGCAGTTGTCACATGACACTTAACACACTCTGCTTTGGATTATAGTTATTTGTGACCATATCTTACCTTCCCAAATGAACTCCTTGAGGGTCAGGACTATGTCTTATTTATATTGGTTTCTTTTTTAACACCTAGCACAGGGACGTGCACATAGCAGGCTTCAGAAAATGTCAAATGAGTAAAGGAATACTATCACCACCCTCCCCCTCACCTCTGGCTCAAGAACCTATGATATTCCCTAATGCTGATTATGTGAAGTCCAAAATACCTCTTCCTGGCTTTCCAGACCCTTCCACAATCTGGCCTCACCCTAAGCCCAATTTCCCACATAGGCCAATTAGGCCTATCTCCTTACAATCCCACTTATACACAGCATATTCGTTTCCTGCTCTGTGCCTTTCCTCATGCTTATCCCCCACAACCACCTCTTTAAATTCTATCTATCCTTCAAAGCCTTCCTCAAGTATCCATTCCTCCAAGAAATCTTTCCCATTTACTCCAGCCTCTCCTCTGAACAATACAACAGCGAACCACAGAATTTAGCACTTAATCATATCATGCCTGTGTGCTAACATGACACCTATAAGTAAAACTTTTTCCCCTACTGCTTTTTTCAGCATGTAAACTTCCTGAGATAAAAAAATCTTCTTAAATACTCCACAATGTCTAGCACATGGCTGGGTAGAAAGCAAGTGCTTAATGAAGACTTGTTAAATGACTAAGTAATCTTGGTACAAAACTGAAAGCTGCTTCCCAGAGCACACAATGGCCAATTCCCCCTGCTTTAAACTCACTGACTTCTAAGTCACCAGAAGGCCCTTAATTGGAATAGCCTAAAGCCAGCAGACAAATGACGAACATGTATTAATGAGTAAAGTGGGGACAAAGCAACAGAGCTAGAGAACACCTAGTTTAAGTGAATGCCTGCCTGCCTACTTGCTGCCTTACCTGGAGGCAAACTGCTGCCTACTTGGGAGGGCCAGGGTGGTAGACATAAAAGGGTTAATCATAGGCTTTCATCATCCAGGACTTTCTGTGTCCTTTTTGCTAAAGCTGGGTGTGGAGGCTTGGTGTCCCAAAGGGCTGACTCACGTGGCTTTTGGAGACACCCTTGTACCTTAGTGGCCCCACTGGCAGGATGCCCAGGCTTGCAAAATCACATGATACCCATACAGCTAAAATAGGGAAATCAAGGCACTCTGCACACATGAATGTAGAATGAGAAGCTCCCGTCTCACTATCCCCATCTCCTTCCAAAGAGAGAACTCTGATTCCCTCTGGGGTCCTTGATATAGTCTTTATACTTCTCATATGGGCGCAGGTGACTGAAATGGAAAGGGAGGAGTGGCAGGGAAGACAGAAAGCAACTGACCACTCTCCCTATCCCACAGATCTGGGGTTCTACCTCTTTAGGCAACTCACCAACAGGCAATTGTTATCACTGCCACATGAAGGCAATTTTTGTTCCTCTGGGGAGACAACTTCAAACTCAGATGAGGTACCCTGGATAAAGAGATAGGTCCAGGTTATGCCCAGGTAAGACCAAACAAACAATGAAAGTTCCAAATAAGAAGAAATAAGAGTCTCGAAGGAAGGAGCTCTTAACTTGGAGTCTATGGATACCCCAAGTAGTCTTACAGAAAGATTTCAGAGATTATGGAACTTGGGTGGGAAAAAATTACATCATTATTTTCATTAACCTCTAATTGACATTTAGCATTTTCTTTAATTACTTAAAAACACTATTCTGAGGTGCCACAGTGGATAGGGCACCAGCTCTGGAGTCAGGAGGACCTGAGTTCAAATCCAACCTCAGACACTTGACACTTACTAGCTGTGTGACCCTGGGCAAGTCATTTAACCCCACTGCCAACCACTCAAAAAAAAAACACAAAAAAAAGTATTCTGAGATTGAGTCCATAGCCTTCACAAAATTGCCAAAGGGGTATAAGACACAAAAAAGGGTAAGAACCCCAGATGTAAGGCCTCTAAGGAGGCAGTCCAAGGTCAGTCCACACTGTCTGACTGGGAAAGTTCACAAAGAAAACATGTATACTTTAAATAGTTTGCAAAATTTTTTGCAATATATAATTAATGAACTTCACTGAAGCATAACATTGTTTCTATGGATACAACTTACTATATAACATTACTTCACTTAATGTCATGTTTTTAATAAAAAATCTACCTTCTCTACTCCCATCTTCCCGTCTTCCCCCCACCACGGCAGCTTCCCTTACCCCATCCCTTCTACTTTCTCATTGAGAAAGCAAGAAAAACACTACATAGATAGTTAAGCAACACAAATTCCTGAATTGGGCATATCCAAAAAAATTATGTCTCAATTTGCACTCTAAGTTGACGTCCTCTCTATCAGAAGGTGGACTGCATGTTTCATCATGACTCCCATGGAATTGGTCATTGTGTTGATCAGTTTTCCTGTCTTTCAAAGTTGTTTGTTTTAACAATAATGTTATCATTTAAACTGTCCTCCTAGTTCTGCTCACTTCACTCTGCACCGGTTCATACAAGTCTTCCCAAGTTTCTCTTAAACTGTATCCTTTATCATTTCTTACAACATAATATATTCCATCATATTCATGTAACAATTTGTTCAGCTATTCCCCAACTATTGGACACCTCCTCAGTTTCCAATTCTTTGCCACTTCAAAAGAGCTGCTATAAGTATTTTTGCAAATATGGGTGCTTTTCTCTTTCTTTGATATTGCTGGGTCAAGGGGTATGCAAAGTTTAATAGCTTTTTGGGTAGTATTCCAAATTTTTTCCAGAATGGCTAGACCAGTTCACAGCTCCACCAACAGTACATTAATGTACATTGTACTTTTTTTTGTCAACTCTGCCAATCTGTTATGTGTGAGGTAGAACCTCAAAGTTGTTTTTAATTTGCATTTTTCTAAATATTAGTGATTTAGAGCATTTTTTTTCATATGGCTATTGATATCTTGGACTTCTTCCTCTGAAAACTGCCTGTTCATATCCCTTAATTATTTATTAATTATTATTTATCAATTGAGGAATGACTTTTATTCTTATTAGTTTGAATCATTTCCCTATATATCTTAGAAATGAGACTTTATCAGAGAAACTTGCTGCAAAGTTTTTTTTCCCCACCTATTTACCTACTTCTCTTCTAATTTTAGCTGCATTGGTTTCACTTGTGCAAAAACTTTTGGGGGATTTTTTTGTTTGTTTGTTTTTTGCAAGCAATTGGGGTTAAGTGACTTGCCCAGAGTCACACAGCTAATAAGTGTCAAGTGTCTGGTCTGAAATTGTATTTCAACTCAGGCCCTCCTGACTCTAGGGACAGTGCTCTATCCAGTGCACCACCCAGCTGCCCCTTGTGCAAAAACTTCTTAATTTTATATAACCAAAATTGTTCATTTTATTTACTGTCATCCTCTCCATCTCTTGTTAGGTCATGAATTTTTCCCCTACCCAAGTTTCTGAAGACGCTCTAATTTGTTTATGATGTCACCCTTTACGTCTAAGTCATGTACCATCTGGAGCTTATCTTACTGTAGAGTGTGAGACATTGGTCTGTACCTAGTTTCTATCATACTACTTTCTAGTTATCCCAACAGTTTCTGTCATACATTAAATTCTTCCCCCAATAAGTAGAATCTTTAGACTTATCAAACACTAGACTATTGTGCTCAGTTACTGCTATATATTATGTACCTCATCTGTTCCTCTGATCAACCTCTCAATTTCTTAACCAGTACCAAGTTGTTATTGCTTTGTAGTATAGTTTGAGATCTGGTACTTCCCTCTCACTCCTCATAACAGATCAAGGATAGACTGTGTCTACATACATGTGGAACTGCTTAGAGAATGTTATTATTGCTCAGTTGCTAACTAGGTGTATAACTTCAAGTTATACACCTCCTTATCTTTAAAATAAGAAGGTTGAACAAAGGGTCCATCCAATATTTATATTCTGAATATGGATTACTCCTCAGAAATTTCCTGTATGTGAAAACTGAAAAGAGTAACATCTTTACCTGTTTTACAAATGATTTTGTACTCTATTAACTTCACGTGATGAAGCAATTTCTGGGCTCTTTTGGCTCTCTCACTGTGGTGATTATTTTACATTTAACTTTTCTAAAAATGTATGATAATACGATGTTTTAACTTTTATCATTTTCCTATATTTCAGAGTTAACAGTTTGTTTCAATGATAGGTCAGGATAGAGCCACTGAAACTGCATACAGTTTTTATCTTGGTGTTGGTTTTGACATTTGCTCTAACTAGCCGATAATCTGATTGCATATGCATATAGACACCTAATTTGGAAGTGATTAACATGACTATTAGGCATGGGGCTCAAGGAGGCTGAGGACTAAAAGAAAGGACCAACACATACATTTTAGCAGTACTTTTTGGTGTATCAAAGAAATGAAAACAAAATAGATGTCCATCAATTGAGGAAGGGTTAAATAAAGTGTGGTATATGAATATAATGGAATTTTATTATGGGGTAAGAAATGAAAATGACAGATTAGAGCAATGTGGAAAGGTTTGTATGAACTGATGCAGAATGAAATGAACAGACCTAGGAGAGCACACCTATGACCAATCACAGCACCAAAAAATTGATGATGAAACATACCTCTCAACTCTTGACAGAGAGATGATGGTGTAGAGATACAAAATGAGACAAGTATTCTCATACATGGCCTATGTACTCATTTATTTTGCTTGACTCTACATTTGCTTTGAGGATCTCCACTTGGAAGAGGGAGAGTAGTTTAGTGGATAGTGACAGACATGAAAAAACAGCATCAAGAAATAATTTTTTTTAATGAACAGAAGAAAACAAAAGAGCAAAAGAGGCTACAGAAATTCTGTTGCTGCCTTGTTAAACTTATGTGTGCGTACATCTCTCTTTTATTAAAATTGTACAGTGAAATTCATTTTCTTATATAATTTTCTTTCCTGCCCTTCTTTGTATCTTGAAATGTTTGTGTTTGTTGGTGGTTATTAAGTTCACAACAGAAAAGAAAAATTTAAAAACAAAACAAAAATTATTCCCATGGTAGTAATAAGTAATTTTCTATATGTGTGTGTATGTGTGTGTGTGTGTGTATACACACACACACACATACATACACACATATATATTTTGTCTATATATGTGTGTGTATATATTTATATGTATGTATATGTGTATATTGTATATACAGAGACATATATATAGTTTCTTTTTTTGTGATAGTTCAGTACTCACCAAGTCAAATGTCTTCTAACTTTCTTCTGAAGAAAGTATTCTTAAAATACAGATTACATGTAGTGGAAAGAGATGTGACCTTAGAATTACAAGAGCTGAGCTTATGTATAAACTTATTACTTAACTTCTGAGCCTCAGTTTCCTCATGTGTAAAGGTAAGAGGTTGGACTAGATGACCTCCCAGCTCCTAATCTATGATCCTAAGTGGAGTCCAAATGGAAGAGAAATTCCCTGCAGGTTCTCCTGCGGAAGTTTTCCAAGTGTTCAACTGCAAATAATTTTGTGATGACTGCATCAAGTCCCAAAATACTACAGGTCAATGAGATTCTTGGTTAGTCAGATAAGATTGACCCAGCAAACAACACAGGAAAATTATGAAAAACAGATTACTTCTCAGAGTATTTTACACATTCTAACGAGTATCTCATTTGGTTAGTACAAAAACTTTGACCAGCCATTGCAAATGGACAATGGACTGGATTCAGAATTAAATAAGAGGAAAGTAGACTGGATTATAAATGGAAAACTGTGCAGTGCCTTCAATGAGCTGACATCAAAAAGTCTTGGTGCAAATCATGAAACAGCATGATCTGACAATAAAAGATGTAGAAGAGTGGTGTCAAACTCAAGCAGGCATGGATCTAGGCACATATCTACTTTAAAAAATCCCACAAATAAGCATAATCCATGTTGTATTGTGTTTTTATTTATTTTGTTAAAGATTTCCCAAATACATTTTAATCAGGTTCCCTTCAATTTTAACACCTCTGCTGTAGATGACCAAAGAGGCAACACACAATGGGGTAACTAAGCCCTAGAATATTATCATTGATAATATTCATGAAAGTAAACATCACCAAGGATGTATGCGATTGGAAAAGGAGATAGGCTGGCCGCAAAGCAAGAGCAAATTGTAATAGATGAACGCCCTAGTGCTGTACTAGAATCTATGAAATATTCTAAAACTAGAGGAATACCTTCAACATAATGGGTAGCTCCTTTACGAAGATTTATGGAAAAGTATGGATATACACAACAAAATCATAGATCCATTAAAATATCTTATTTGACAAATGAGGAAACTGAGGTCCCTAGAGGTGAAATTACTTGCCCAAGATCACACAATAAATCAATGACAGAATCAGGATTGACTATATTAACAAGCAGGGTCTTCTGACTTTGGATTGGTTACTCTGACAATCTGGGGGTAGCTAATTTAAACACCCTGAATTTGGCCTCATTTATCTACTATGCTCTAGATCCCTGGGTGTAGCATATGGACTTAAAAACCACAAATTAACATTCTCTTAAGTTTTATCATATGTTTATTTATTTTGTTAAACATTTCCCAATTACATTTTAATCTGGTTCAGGCCAACTAGGGAATTTTGCTGCAGCTTCGAGTTTGTCCCCTTCCCACCTGACTAGCTGGGACCCAGATTAGACCCTAGCTGCCTACTACTCTACCCTCACTCCAAAGTTCCCAGAGGCCAAAGCTTAAAAGTACTTAAGAGACACTTAGAAATACAGTAGTCTAAGATGGAAGGAACTTTAGAGATCAAATCAACACCCTCATTTTACAGAAAAGGAAAATAACACTTAAAAGTTTGTTTGTTTTTTTTCTTTAAGATCACCAGGTCACTTAGTTGCAAAGCTGGGATCACAACACTGGTCTCCAGATTCCCAGTCCAGGGGCCTTTCCACTACTCCATACAGCTAGATCTTGTTCTAATGTGTTTACCTCTCATGTCCACAAGGCTTATAGCCTAAAGAAATTTCGTTTATATCCCTGTTTTAGGAAATGTGGCTATACTAGCTACCCTTTGCTAGATCCAACATCGCAAGTTCCTCAATCTCATCTTTGGTACCCCCTGTATACTAACAGGGCCTTCCCTTCAACAATATTAGACCCTAAGTCTCTCCTTTTACTCACATATAACCAAATGAGACAAGGAAAGGGGTAATTCCTTCACTTTACCTAGGGCCAACCTTTAGAATGGTCCAATCACTCAACACTAACAACAAATATACATTTATTAAACTTCTACTATATATCAGACACTGTGCTAGGTTCTGGTTATAAAAAGATAAAAACAAAATGGTCCCCCCCCTCTAGAAAACTACATCCCACTGGGCAGTATAAAGTATACTTTATACTGTATAAAAATAAGCAAATACAAAGTAATTTCAGGGTGGAAGAGGCACTAACAATGAGGGGTTAAGGAAAGACCTACTGAAGGTGACGGTGAGCTAAACTTTGAAAGAAGCCAGGAATTTCAAGAGGTAGAAGTGAAGAGAGTGTATTTTCGAGGAATAGATACAGAGATAAAAGATAATATGTTTGGCTAGAACACAGAATGTATGAAAGGGAGTAATACGAAATAAGTTTGGAGAAATGGTGGCAAGCCAGATTATAAACAGCATATGAGGGGGCAGCTAGACAGCACAGTGAATAAAGCACCGGCCTTGGAGTCAGGAGGACCTGAGTTCAAATCTGGCTTCAGATACATGATATTCACTACCTGTGTGACCCGGGCAAATCACTTAACCCCAATTGCCTCACCAAAAAAAAAAAGAGCACATGAGGCCATTTACAACTGTGATTCCATTAACGAATGCTGGTTGAACTTACTGAGTTTGTCCTTCTAAGAATGGGAAAGGATCCTTTGTCCTAAGATTCATTTTGAAAATGAGGATACATAGTCACAAAGAAAATATTCATAATAGTACTTCTGGTGGTAGCAAAGAAGTGGAAACAAAGTTGGTGCCAACTGATCGGGGACTGACTAAATGTGGTATTTTAATATAATGGAATATTACAACACCAAAAAGAAATGATGTATTCAGAGAAGCATGGGATGACCTATATGAGCTGACACACAGTGAAATAAGCAAAACTATGAAAACAATATACAAAATGACTATAACAATATAAATGGAAAGAACTTTTTTCAACTGAATGCTATGACTGCACATATATAACCTATATTAAATTGCTTACCATCTCAGAGAGGGCAGGGATAAGGGAGGGAGGGAGAAAACTTGGAATTCAAAAATTTTTAAATAGTGAATGCTAAAAATTGTCTTTACATGTAATTGGAAAAAAAGAAAATATTTTAAAAATAAAGAATGAAATAAATTTTTAAAAATAAACTGAATGCTGTATAATTAAAATGACCAAGTTTGGCCCTGGATTAGAGTTGAGAAAATATATCTCCTTCACCTCTTTGAAGAAGTGTGGAATATTGCACATACTCTCAGACATACTTGATATATTGGTTAGTTTTGCTGAAATGCTTTTGTCTTTTTTTTTAAATTTCTGTCACAAGGGATGGCTCTTTCCTCTGGAGAGGAGAGCAGGTATATATTTGGAAATGAAAGTGCTGTAAAATAAAAAGTATCGATTTTTTTTTTATTTAAAAGAAGTGAAAACAGGAATGCCCATAAAAAATTAGTGGTTTGCCCAAAGTCACACAACAAATGAGTGACTAGGTTTCCTGAGTCACAATCCAACCTTCTTTCCATTAGGCCAAGTGTTGTCAGCTTCTTTTTTTAAACCTAGAAAATCTTCATAATATCTACCACAGATGCTGCTAGAACTTACACTGGATGGAGTCTTCTGAACTGCAGGTGCTTGCTCATTCTTGGAACCAGCTGGGCTAACTGGAGGCAACTCATGGTTTACATTCCCTCCTGGAGAACAGAGAGAAAAGGAAGCCAAGTAGTAAGCCAAGTAAATAGACACTCTGATCAGACTTCTGAATTTAGATTTTTTAGGGTGAGAGTCTTTATGAACAATATTCCCAGTAGTCTGGCTTTAGTAATTTGTTTAAGGAAATGGGTGGCTGGTTATACCTCTTTAGGATCTCTCAAATAGAAGAATATCTTCTTTCCTCCTTGACTATGAGAACCAGGGGTCTGTAAAGCATAGCGTAAAACACCACCTCCTTAGAAGACTGGGAAAAATCCCTGAGAATCCAGGCCACTGTTTCTGCCTGATCTCTTCAAAATGCAAACTATGAAGATTATTCTACCAGTTATCATTAAAAATCTTCACAAATGGGCAAGTCCCCTATAATCCCTAGGCCTGTCACTGCAAAAAGCTAAAGAAAATTGTTCCAACCCTTCTGTTCTAAGTTATTTCCCAAAGATCCAATCAAATATCATGGAAACTCAGGCAAATAGCCAGTGATAGCTTCTGGGTCAGAGTGGAAAGGTGAATTTGGTATCACAGAACCTCAGTCCAAATCCTGGTTCTGTCACTTTCTACCTGTGTGACTTTATAACTTACCCTCTCTGAGCCTCAATTTCCTCAACTGTAGGGAAGATGTCGGGCTACCTGGCCTCGGAGGTCCCTTTCAGCTCCAGATCTATCATCCTGTGATTCTATGCTCTTACAGGGTTGTGGCAAAGATTCAGTGTGATTGCTAGAGAGTTCTTTAAGAAGGGATGATCAGCAATCCCAGAGAAGTTCCTGAATTCTGACTTCCTCGGATAATCTAAAAAACACCTCCTGGGACTATGGGTGCTCACACTATTTAACAGGTCACAGTCATTTTGCATCTTGGCATTCTCATTTGTGAACTGGCAAATAACAACAATCTTTCAGGGCTGCTGTGAGGGTTAATTCACTAAAAGGATTTAGGTGAATATTTATTATGGTTGCCACTGAAGAGGAAAGGAGCTTGAATTGCAGCAAACAAAACGAATTATCTTAGATATAAGGAGAATATGATGAGGACTGCCTAACACTTGAACAGATCACTAATGGAGATGGCCAACTCCCATGAAAAGTGGTCACCTTTCTACGTGGAACATTTTAAACTACAATTAGAGAAGAGCTGTGCAGATGGACAAGCCGAATGGATCCTACCTCTAGTAAGCATACCATAAATCATAAATGCTGAATTGAACTGAAACTGAAGAAAGGGTTGGCTAAGGAAATTAACATTATCAAAACATTTGCAAGGATCTGGTGTTTTCTGGTTCAGCTGTTTTTTCAATTGTGACTGACTCTTCCGGACCCCATTTGGGGTTTCCTTGGCAAAAATACTGGAGTGGTTTGCCATTCCCTTCTCCAGTTCATTTTTACAGATGAGGAAACTGAGGCAAATGGGTTTAAGTGACTTGCCCAGGGTCACACAGCTAGTGTCTAAGGTCAGATTTGAACTCAGGAACTTCCTGACTCCAGTCCTGATGTTCTATCCATTCTACCACCTAGCTGTCCTTAGCAAGGATGTGTTTAGCTAATTAAGAAAATGTACTTTAAGGAACTTTTGCATATTTATGCTAATGCTGTTAATTAGACAAACTGAATCCATAACATAAGCCCCTGTAAGTAATATATGGATATTGCCTTGGGCTATGATAAGATATAGTCAAAGGAAAACTTTTTCAATAGCTGTTTTCATCTGCTGTTGAGAGCAACACTTGCATGAATTTTTCTCTGAGGCACACACAGAAGTGACATGACATTCCAGGCATCATGGGAGCAAAGTAGGGCTAAAATGGGGGTTTGCTGACTCCTTCTGGGAGTGGGAAAAGAGAAGGAAGAAGGAAAGGAGAGGAAGTAAAACCATAAATGTTTGCATTCTGCTATTCCAATGTAAAAACTCTTATGTAAAAACATTAGAAGTCTTCTCTCTTAAAGGTTTTTCAATGAAAGATAAATGAATTTATCATTTGATATATTTTCTTCTACAAAAATAGTGAAATTGGAGAACTACTCCATCTCCCTGCCTTTAGATGTCTATACATATAAAGTTCTCTGATTTTTGTTGGTATAGGATAACTTGGTATGCAAGGCTTAGAGAATTTCCTGAGGTTTAAGATAAATGATTTACCCATGGTCACATAGCACTAAGTGTCGGAGGCAGGATCAGAACGTGTGCGCTTAGCTCCTGGTCCAGCAGTCTCCCTGTTATGTCATAATGTCTCTCATGCCTTCAGACAACTGTAAATAACTAAATGACCCCAGAAAGAAGATCTGAGGTATACTCAGAATCATATAATACCAAAAATGGAAGGGACCTGAGAACACAGATCATAAAATATCAGAACTGAAAGGGACCTCAGAACACAGAATGTTAGAGCTCCAAGCAGACTTAGAAACTATCTAATCTAAAACTAATGTGATAGGAGCAACACTGAAGCCAAGAAAGCTAAGCTTTCTTTTTTTCTGCTAAACAATAGCAGAATACAGTTGTGTTTTTTCCTAAAAGGTGATGAAACCATTCTCAGAAAGTCCAAAAATGGAATAGGCTTCCTCAGAGAGTAGCAGATTCCTCATCACTGGAAAAACATTTGTGGGAAATAATGTAGAAAGGCTTTTATTTCATTATAGGTTGGACTAGATGCTTTCTAGTTCTTTCTCAGGCCTTTCCAGCTCAGAATTTCTGTGACTCTTAATCTCTTCATTTTATAAAGGCTGAAACTGAGACCCAAATTGTAGAAGTGTCAAAATCAGAAGTTGAGCAGGGTGTGGTGGCACACATCTGTAGTGCCTGCTACTTGAATGAAGATGACAGACCTATTGAATTTGGGAATTCTGAGCTGCTATGAGCTAAGCTGTTCAGTTCAGGTGTCTGAAAGAAGTTTAGGATCAATATGGTGAGATCTCAGGAGCAGTGAAGCTACGAAATTGCCGAAGGAGTGAACTGAACCAGGTCGGAAAAGGAGAAAATCAAAACTTCCACGCCAATTAGTACTGGGATCGGGCTCACGAGCAGCCCTTGCACATCCAACCTGGATGAGATGGGAAAACTCAATCTTCATTTAAAAAAAAAAGATCATAACTTGGATGGGAGCATGAACAAATCTGGCTCATTCTTTGATACACACAGGGACTTCCATCCTATGGTAACCCACTGCCATCATACCTGTGAGCTCAGCTAGGTGGTCAAAGGAAGATGAGGGAGGAGATGGCTGGAGAAGCTCATTGTCCTTGGCCAGTTCCTCTACCTTTTGACGCAGCTTGGATGCCTCCATCTGAGATTCTTCCAACAGTTCCCCTGGGGCCAGAGGGGGAGAAAAGTGCAGAAAGAAAGTTCAGCTCCCATAGTATTGCTTACCCTACCTGATCAAAGTCTATTGCTTTCCATGGACCTAGAACTAAAAAATCCACCAAGCTGACTAAATCCCATGTTTGGATATTCCAGTTCAATGCCTAGATTTCTCCCACTTTTCCCATGACTGGATTTCATCACAGCCCAACTGGAGAGAGTAGGTGAAGGAAGCAAAGCCCAAACCAAGCCACCTTTGCTACTAGTTGACAGTGTGAGCTACAAGGACAGGGAAAAACTTATTTAAAAAGAAAGTTCTGGATTTGGGTGATAATTTTCAATTATCTTGGGACATGGATTGGTTGGGAATATAACTCTTCCTCCCAAACCCCATGGGGACACTAAAGCAAACCCCAAAGGTGCCCATTTGTCCCAAGGTCTTCCTGCACTCCAAGGGCCTCAGACCAGGTATCTGCCCAGTTTTCAGTAAAAACAGGGAGCTTTCCCACATCCACCACTAAAGATCTTGTCATAAGGGCCAGCCAAAGTTCTCATAATGTTAGACCCTATAAGAAACACAGTTTTGGATAATACAAAACTCAAGGATTTGTCTGTGAAAAGAAATAGGATGGGAAGGAAGAAGAGGTATTTATTGGTATGGTACATGAAAGGAGAATGAGGTACTGCAGAATCATAAGAGAGCAAGAGAGGTATCTTCCATAGCATGTGGAAGATTACCCAGTGATACTCACATGGCCCCAGGGCTGCAGGGAGTGGAATAAAAGCTAAAGTAAGAGTACTTCTATCAGGACAGAATGACACCAGTATACTTTGGATGAGATCAGCTGGCTTGTGACAGTGAGCAGAGCTTGTAGGAAAAATGCCATGAGATTATGTGGAGAGGCCATCTGAGGCTCAAAGGCATGGTGTTATTTGTGGCCTCTTCAGCAAGAGGGTCAGAGTCTGTCTCCATTTGTGTCTTATTATAGTAAATGGGGACAGTCACAGATGACTGCATTGGGTTAGGCTTGAAAATCATACCACTCTATAACCCACACACAGCAGGTACCAGAAATGAAGGAGTAAGTGATTTAATGCTGTGTGTACATATACAGAACTGCTGATCTGAATTAGCTGAGCTTATTCCCAGTTTCCCATCCTTAGAAAAAGATGCAAAGAAGCAGCCATTGGGACAGAAATTGTTTCAACCCTACCAAACCTCACTTTTCTCCCCTTGGAATATAGGCACTATGTTCCCTCCCTGATTATCAGGAGAGAAAGCAGCATTTTAGTATGGACTTCATTAGGGATATCAGGGTCTGAAAAATAGCTTGCATAAATGGACACAGGCTCCATCATAGCACAATGACCCTTTTTTTTTGGAGGCAACCAGGGTTAAGTAACTTGCTCAGGGTCATACAGTTAGTAAGTATTTGAGGCTGAATTTGAACTCAAGTCCTCTTGACTTCAGGGCTGGTGCTCTATCCACTGGACCACCTAGCTGCTCCTACAATAACCCATCTTGCACTGTCTTTCTAAACGAAAATTAGACCTACCATGTCCATCTCTCTCCACCACTTCTATGGATAATTGGTTAGGGTACCCCTTACTTAGGAGGAGGTACTTAGTAGAAGAAGTAGCAGGAGCTAAGAATATTTGAGAGGGCAGGAAGAGCTCACTTCAGAAGTCCCCTACACACCATGCCAACCTGTGATTCTTAAGTCACAGTATAAGTCATAGCAGTGTTTCCTGGAGTGACTGTAGCATGAGCCTGGCCAAAATGGCAAATCTTCTTGGTGACACCCATGGTGATGGAACAGAACTCTAAGACCTAAAAAATATCTCTTATAAGCTTGGGAGTTTCTGCAGGGTCTTTGGAAAGACCAGAGGAAGAAAACTTCCCCAACAGCCACAAGGACGAGGCTAATATAAAAGATATTAGGACAGGAAGATGGAATGGGGTATCTTCATTCCTCTGAATCCCAAAAGCAGAAGAAGGTGGCCATATGTCTGATAAATCACAATACCCTTCACTGGGGATCAACTACCTAAATTCCAAGAATAGATTACACATTTCCAAAATGTATTTATCCTTGTTATCTCCACAGTACCTAGTTTGGGACTTCGTACACAGTAAGCAATTAATAAATGTCTGCTGAATGAATGAACAGGACAAAGCAGAGATCCTGACTAGCCATGTGAACATGGGCCCTGTTTCTCCCCTATATAATTCCAGAAATTAGGACTCTCAAAGTTAAGACTTTTGCCACTGAGGCAGCCAATGGCACACTCACAAAATGTCATGCAGAATACCTAGAAGCTCAGGTCACAATCAATATCTCTTCCCTCCATCTCCTATCCCTAGAGTAAGAGCAAAAATGCAGGTCCCCTTATCCCTTACCCCCTTTTCCACCTTCTCCATTTGGGGACAGTCAGGGAAATGACAAGCAAGGGAGGAGTTACTAACCTAGGGAGACACTTGGGTAGGCTGGGATCCACAGGGTGACAATACCTCAACTCCGAGGAGCCAGAAGTACACACCAAAGTAAGTTACAATATCAAACTGCATTCCCTGGCTAGCTTCCACTTGGGAGCTAGCCAGTAGGCTATAAGTAAATGTCCTTGAGTGGCAAGACCATGGAGCAGGAGAACCTTGAAGTATGCTTGGGATGAAGGGGAAGGGAAAGGAGGGGAGGTGGGTGTCTGCATTACCTAACATCTTTATCCCTTGCATTTTTTCCTTCAGTCGAGAATTCTCCTCCACTAGATGCTCAAAAGCTGCAGATGCCTCTCCTTGCTTGCCCTCACCACCGGGGTCGTAGATCCGATACGGTCCTCGCCCTTCCATGGGGGCAGCTTAGCCACCAGACTTCGTGCCCACCTGACTGTAAAGACAACAGCAGGATATCAGAGCCACCTGGCTCAGCACTCTGTCCATTTCCTGGCACCTAGGAACCTCTTCCCCCAGCCAAGCCCACTCTAGGGCATGACATACCCCCAAGATCAAAAGACTTAGAGACTAAAAAACAAGTTCTTAGAGGTTTGGCAGATATGAGATCCAGACCTCTATGTGTGGAGAGAAGTCAAAAGGACAGAGAGCTGGGAGAAGGTATTTGGCTACAGCCTCCAGCTAATGGAGTATCCTTGTCATGTAACATATAGAGAACCATGGTCAGGAACAATCATTTCTATTCCTTAAAAAGCAATAATAATCTTGTCCTCAGGATTGTGAATTAAAGAATGACTGAATCTTAGAAATAGAAGAGTCCTCAAATAAGCATCTTCTAGTTCATTCCTTTAGTTCTAAACATCAAAGAAACTTAAGTGATTTGCACAAGATAACAGAGCACATTTTTAGGAGATATAGAAGGTAGATCTAACTCCCAGTCCATCACTTTTTCAACTATTCCATGCTATCATGTAAGACATCTTAGCTTCACCTTTAAGATCTCAGTGAGGAATATCTACAGTACTCTCTAAACATGTGGTCAGCCCCAACTCAACATCTATCTGGGATTATTTCCTTTAAGTTAAATCAATTAACCACAATTTTACTTCTCAAAATCTCTACCATCCCCTATCAGGTACCTCAGAAAGAGAAACAACCCAAAGGTGAGGCAAGATAGTTACTTTTCTCCAAAACAAGACTGAAACTCCCCTCCTGCCTATTTCCCCCACCCCCTCACACAGTACTTCCCAGGGTATGGCAGGGGACCGCACATCAGAATAAAAAAGGCTGGGTATGGGGGCTGCTCACAACCCAGACAGACAAGTGGGTAGGCCCAGAAATAACCACAAAGAGTTATAGCAGAGATTATGTTGCTAAAACAAAGTGCAAAGGGTTTGGAGGGAGGAGTGAAAATAGCAGCAATGGGATATATGAGTCTGTACTTCAAACCCACAGCCCCAGATGTTAAGAAAGGACTGAAGAAGACGGCACAAGTCTGATCCTAGGCATCCTGACAGAACCCCAAAAGGCACAGCATCCCCCAAAACATCTTCACTGTGTACTTTGTGGAACTTGAAAACTTGTGTAATAAACTACCCATCCCTAGAACCTAAGCACAGGGGCAGCTAGATGGCGCAGCGAATAGAGATCCGGTCTTGGAGTCAGGAGGACCTGAGTTCAGATTTGGCCTCAGACACTTGACACTTGCTAGCTATGTGACCCTGGGCAAGTCACTTAACCCCAACTGCCTTCACCAAAAAAAAGCAAAAACAAAAACAAAAACAAAAAACCTAAGCACAGCATAGCCTAGGGTCTCTGGGATTCACCTACTCTGGGTCTATCTACCATGTGCTACTGCCAAGGCAGAACATAACATTAAAGTACCAACCAGCAAAAAGGAGAAGAGATTTCCTTATGAGGTTTACTGGTTGCCAGAAGTGACCGATTTCCTGGACATTTAGTATGACCCTCAACCAAGGAACCCCCCAGAACCCCAAAGCAATGAAGGCCAGAAATAGGTGTTAAGCCAGAGAAGGCTCCTCTATGTAAAAGCTGGAATCCAAGAGAAATCATAAGACTTTGAGAGTTCTAATCTCATTCAAAGAGTATGTGGATGGAGAACTGTGGAATTAAGTTTTGTTAAACTAAAAGAAACAAGAGAATTAGGAAATTCTAAATAAATACAAGTACCAGAAAGATGAAGACCACTCCAAGTGAGGGTAGAACAAGGGGTGCCAAATATATTTCAGTGTTAAAGTCCTGAAGGTCCAGGCCATACTGGGAGGGAGCTTGGTTTCTCTGCCTCAACTGTGGGGAATCAGGCTGAAGATACAAACCTCTCTCCGACCACACATTCTAAATGTACCAATTTGCATAAGACCAAGCTCACTTACACTTTGGTTTCAAGGCATCCCCTCACCATACTAGTCACTCTACCAGCTTGGACTCCCATCAGCTTGCTAATATTCTTCCTCAAATGTGGCACCAAGAACTGAATCGTGTAGTCAATATGATCTGAACAGTGGGAATTTAATTTTCTTTGTTTTGCGCACACTATACTTCTATTAATGCAGCCTAAAATCACGTGAGATTTTGAGGCTACCAGTTTACACTGCAGATCCATACTGAACTCGCAATCCTCTAAAAACACTGTCTTTTTCTTACACATTTTGATTAACAAGGAGATAACAGTAAGAAGGCTACCAGAAGAGGGTTTTTTTTTCTCTAACTCTTTTTAGGGCAGCAAGAAGGAACTAGGAATGGCTGGTTAATCTTTCCACACTCCTATCATCCCTGCTCTAGCATCCTTTTTTAAAAGCAAAGTTTAAGCTACTATGGCATAGTTAGGTTACAGACTACTCGAGTGCTCATAGACTTTGCCATGGCTCTGAGAGAATCCTTCAGATAAGTCAAGCTCTTATACCACAAGAATGTTGGAAGGAACGAGTGGTTGTATATAAAAAGCTCAGCAACTCAACATAGACAGAAACTGATGACAAATAAACTAAAATAATCAAAAGAAGAAAGGAAAGAAATTCTCAAAAGGATGCCTCCAGAAGGAGAGAAAAACTGAAGGATTTAAGAATAAGCAAGCAAAGAGAAGCCTCCAATATATAACTAAGATATACTATGGGGGAAGAGAATCACGGGTTAAAACAAGAGGAGAATAATTCTATAACTATACCTATAATACAAAAAAGGAGAACAGAATAGACACAAGAACCACCAGCATGGCTGAAGGCCTTATGGAAGAAATGAAGGAAGAGATAAGAAATGAAAGGTTAAAAAGCTTAAAAGTTAAGCTTAGAAAAGTGTTGGACTCTAAAGAAATAACTTAAATAGAGGAATATTCAGTGCTCATTTTGGGGTCATGACAATATAATAAAAGTAACCATCCTACCCAAGTTAATTTATACTTTTAATGCTACAACCAAACTATCAAAGACGTATTTTAGAGAAATCAATAAAATAATAATAATTCATTTTAAAAAATAGCGGTAGAACACATTGCTTTAGTAGGAAAATTATGAAAAAAGGTAGGAATGAAGGAGAAATAGTACTTCCAGACCTAAACCATACTGTATAACAGCAGACATCCAAAGCAATTGATATTGGTTTAAAAACAGAGAGGTATATCAATGGAACAGACTAGATAAGGAAGAATGTGAAACAATGGAACTCAATAACCCACTGTTCAACAAAACAGAAAACATAAATTACTTAGGAAACAACTCTTTATTTGATAAAATCTGATAGTTAAAATGGAAAACGGTTTGGCAAAAATTAGGCTTAGATCAGCACCTTAAACCATACCATACATTTTAAATGGATATATGCCCTTAATGTTAAAGATCATACCATCAAAAAATTAGAAGAGAAGTAGATCAAATACCTCTCACAGCTACGCATAGGAAACGTATTTTAACCAAAGGATAGAAGCAATTACAGAAGATGAAAGCTAACTTTGATTATATGAATCCAAAAAGCTTCTACACAAACTAAATTAATGCACCTAGGATAAGAAGGAAAGCATTAGAATGGTAAAAAGTCTTTGAATCAAATTTCTCTGATAAAGATTTGTTTGCAATATATATAAACTATTCAATTCTAATAGCATAAAACTGCACTAAGACTTTTGGGACATCTAGTATACATGATCAAAAGCCATTCCCCCCATAGATAACTGTGAGTGGTCAAAGAATATGAACAAACAGTTCTCAAAAGAATTGCAAACTATTAAGAACATGTTGAAAGAATATGCCAAATCACTAATAATAAGTAAAATGCAAATCAAAACAGCATTGAAGTTTCACCTTAAAACCTATAACCTAGCAAGAATGACGAAAAATAGGGGCAGCTAGGTGGTGCAGTGGGTAGAGCACTGGCCCTGGAGTCAGGAGGACCTGAGCTCAAATCCAGCCTCAGACATACCACTTACTAGCTGTGTGACCCTAGGCAAGTTACTTAACCCTGACTGCCTAAAACAAACAAACAAAAAAAAAAAGAATGACAAAAAATGGGAATAGTTAATGTTGGAGAGGCTGAGAGAAGATAGGCACAGTAGCACATTATTGGTAAAGGAGTAAATTAGTACAACCATTTTTGGAAAACAATATGGAATTATGCAAATAAAATTATTAAAATGTCCACTTTAATTCAGAGATTGCATTATTAGGCTTATACACCATGAAGGTCATTGATAAGAAGAAAGTTCTCATATATACCAAAATATTTATAGCAGCACTCCATGTGATAGCTAAGAATTGGAAATAAAGTAGATGCCCTCAATTGAAGAATGTGATATGTGAATGTAATAGAACATTACTGTATTGTTAGAAATGATGAATGTGATCAATACAGAGAAGCATGGAAAGATATATAGATAGATAGTAGGTATAACTACATATAAAATGATTACAACAATGTAAATGGGAAGAACCACCATGGAAAAAAAAACAAAAACAAGTGCTGCAAAATTATAAAGAATAAGCATGGCTTGAAAAAGAAATATGAGAAGACACTTAAAGTAGGAGGTCCGCAAGTGCTGTACATTACACGTGAGAGAGTTGGGTTATAGGCAGACACCAAAGGCGGATGAGCAGCCCTGAAAAGAGTTCAGCACGCCCTCACAGCAGAGATGCTAGTCCTTCCTAAACACCAGGAACAAAAGGAGAGCCTATGCAAAGACACAAAAACCAGCAAGGGCAATAAGGAAGCCAGTTTGACAGAAACATGGAGTAAAAATAGGAGGAAATACGTAATAAGCCTGGAAAGGTTTGAAACCAGATTATAAACTTCTCTGGGTCTCAATTTCTTCATCTGTAAAACAAAAGGGCTGAATATAGATCACAGGTCCTTGATCTTTTTTAGATCACAGACTCTATGGTTACTTGGTGAAGCCTATGAACCCATTTTCAGAATAATTTGTTCCTTAAA